ATAGATAGATAGATAGATAGATAGATAGATAGATAGATAGATAGATAGATAGATAGATAGATAGATAGATAGATTTTGCAGGTTTGCTCACTTACAAAGAATGCTTGTTTTTCCTCATCAGATGGTTATCAATTTGTATAAATTCATATGATGTGATTTTCTGGAATTTTCTTTGGGACTCTGTCTTTCACTGTTAGAATGTGCATATGATTAAAGTTATATATCGTTGCATTCTTTGTAAGTGGGCAAACCTGCAAAATCAGCAAGGGGTCAAATACTTATTTCCCCCACTGTGGATAGATAGATAGATAGATAGATAGATAGATAGATAGATAGATAGATAGATAGATAGATAGATAGATAGATAGATAGATAGATACTTTATTGATCCCCAAGGGGAAAATGAAGGAAAACTGATTTTTACAGATGCACACAGTGGAGAAATGCTAAAAAAAAACACCCAGATCGGGGACCCACGCCGGGCTCTTTCTCCTCTGGCCGGGTTCCAGCCGAGCTGGCGCCAACGCCACCGATTGGCCGTCCAGCTCGAGCGCGGGCTGAGGCGGGGCCGCCGGTCACCAGCCCTCCGAGAATAAACGTACTACTATGTCACGGCTGAGGAAAGGAGCTGTGCAGTGCAGCTGAGCTGGTCAGGGCGGTGAAATCCCACACGGGGCTCTATTTCGGGGCAGGAATGCGCCGGCCGCACTCCGCTGCCTTTACACCCTCACAGACCCAAAATAGAAAGGGGAAAAAAAAAAAAAAAGATTTGTCAGTGTTCGTCACCCACTCACCCACCCCCCCCCCCCAACACCCCCACCCCCCCCCCCCCCCCCCCCACACCCCACACACACACCCTCCTGTACACTTACACGCTAAAATTAAAATGACATTTGACAAGTCACACAGTTTCAATTTAGTCCCGGCAAGAAGAAGCTGTTTAACCTCCAGAGACCCCGGCTAATATCTGGATTTCATTTTTACTTTTCCCAGAACATCTGGGATAAGTAGGATCTAATAAATGTAATTACTAGACTCTGACATGCTACAAGAAGTTTTTCCTCATATAGGGAAACTGAGTTTATCTTTGTATGTAACATGGGTTTTCGTGTATTTAAAAATATTCTGTGCAATTTGGTTCTAAAGGTCCAAATGACTTTATTACAAAATTCTAATTAAGTAATAAAGACGGTTTTGGTAGAAAACATTTAGTTACTTTTGCAACATTAGCTTCTGATAGAGTCAAAATGAGGCCAAGAGGTCAAAGTTGACACTGAAAAATCAGAATCAGAATCAGAATCAGAATCGGGTTTATTGCCAAGTAGGTTTTCAGACTTACAAGGAATTTGCCTTGGTGTTTAGTGCACAACACAACACTTCTATGAGAAGCAAGAATAAAATGTAGAAATAAAAA